TTAAAGCAAAACTGTAATGGGGGATGACTATGGCAGCTTTCGCCCTAATGTGCAAGTATACGCAGGCCTTTTCCTGTGATGCAAGGTACACATTCCTTGTGCTGCTCTGTCCCCACTTCTACCATCTTCTTTTGTCTTTCTTCTGGTTCTGGCATTTTATTTCTTCGGCCATTGGGTTACATTACATTTGGTCACATTATCACACCATATGGCTCTATTCTTAAAGGTGCAGGCAGTGTACTCTGTATTGTGCAAGTCAGTGTATAGACAAAAACAAATTGCTAGAAGACAGGCAAAATTATTATTTTTTTTTATAGGGGGAGATTTACTAAAACCCGGAGAGTGCAGAATCTGGTGCAGCCGTGCATGGCAGCCAATCAGCTTCCAGGTTGTATTGTCAAAGCTTCATTGGACAAGCTGAGGTTAGAAGCTGATTGGCTGCCATGCACAGCTGCACCAGATCCTGAGATCTCCAGTTTTAGTAAATCTCCCCCATAATGTCTTTCGACCGAAAAAAAAAATCCGCATGCTAACACCTTAAACTTCTATGGCCAAAACCTTTTTTTTGTTTTAGGTTTTTGATAGAGTATGAAAAGTTGGAACCTCTGCTCAGTTTTTATTGCTGTTCAGGTACCTGCAGTATCCCCGGGCCAAAAAGTAATGGGAAATTCAAAATTCTATGGCTGTCACTATAGAGGAAAAATGTTATAATGGGGACACCTTTTCCAATGATAACAGTCTATAGGAGGACTTCTCTCACTCTAGAGAGATATCCACTACTTCTTGTCATGTCTCTGGAAAAGGAAAGGAAGGGAAATCTCTCAAAAGGATACAAAGCATAAAAAATAGAGTGGTCTCAGCCATTCCCAACCCTATCGAGCACAGAAAAAAAAAGTTTTGGTCTTGGGCACTTCAGAAGCACATAGGAAAGAGAGACTCTGCATTTTGCCATTTGTCTCCTACTTGAAAAAAAAAAAACATGCAAGGTTGGTGTTCTGACTTTGCTGGTGTGTTCTGGGTCAGTGACACACAAAGTATCAATGTCACAGGATCAGCATGGCTGCCAGAGCATTTTCAGAAGAGAATGGAAAAAAAACCTCTGTGTGGGCTCAATTTACAAAGCTAACACACCAAGATAAGTATCCTTATTTTTTAAAAAGTGACGGTTATTTTCAGTTGAGTCCAATAAAATCTCAAAAATGACAGTCTGTGGCTAGTATTAAAGCTTTGTGAATTGAGCCTTACATCACTTAGTATGGGTTACATTAAAATAATTGGCTATTGATTGTTACTTAGATAATAGAATGAAAATTCAAATGTGTGGTGATCCATGATTGTCTGCAATTTTGCAAGCAATATACCAGATCGCAGGGTACGATAATAAGGTAGTAAAAGTGTTGAGCAATCAGCAATGCAACCATTTCAGAAGTGACAAAGATCTATAACAAACTTTTTTTTACAATCTATATAGCAAAGCAGCACTACTGAGAAGTGTTGTATAAACCAAGATCTGAAATTGTAGCTTTGGCATTCATGAACACAACCCTTCTTGGTTCTTTCATTTCACCTGACTAAAGACCTGTCACACACAGTTAGCTTTAACTCATGTCCAGGTTTTGTTTGATTAGTCAAAAAGGTTATGTAATGTTTAAACAATATATTAAAATTTTCTAAAGTATATTAGGATTACGAAGAGAATTTTGAAATAAAAGTTTTAATATCAATTATGGATGGATATAGACACATTTCTGTAAATGATCAAAAGAGACCATATCTACACTTAGGATGGTACAATGTGAAGCAGTATTGTCCAACACATAGCTGCCTTTGTGTCTAGTTATGCCACAGAAATCTATCAATCAACTGTCATCATGCTGCCTTAACAGTACAAATGCACATTAGTATTTTCATCTCTGTGAAGGTGTAGGCCAGTGGCATTGCTAAGATCTAAGGTCTCATTTACACCTGGACATTTTAGGTGTATTTTGGGTACAATGCATTAAAAGGTCCTGCTAGCTGTATCTTTGATACAGCTTCCAGCAAAATTCCAATTCCAAGTTTAATGGCAACATATGTAAAACACGTGTAAAATACACCTAAAACACATAGAACACACAGATGTAAGTGGTACCTAAAAGATTTGAGCCACTGCAGACAATTAGGTAGTGAGTAGTGCAGTGAAGGTTTAGAACATGGCCAAAATACAGGTTTAGCTGTAGGGAAATAGATGGCAAGCTCTTATTCCCATGACATGCCTATCTATGGTTTCTCACTCACCCTTGGAAGGCACCATTCAAAGCCCTCTTTTTCCTCCTTTATCCATTATGCCACTTCTTAAGCCATTAATGAACAAGTAACCTTTCCAGTCATCATTCCAACCTTTCAACAATTGCCCTCTTTTTACACGCAGGCATGGTTCTTACTGTTCACCACAGCCTGGTAGCCAGTTTCAGGGAGAAGATGAGCTTTAGGAATTGTAGAAGGCAGACTTGGTGGTTTGCCGATATCAAAACACATCATCACGCAACACATGGGTGGCTTTAGGCATACAAATTGCAGGAGCAGCAATAATTTACTGAATAATAATAATAAAAACCTTTAAACATGCTGATCACTGACCCAAGACACAGGGCACCCAGTAGAACATCTAAAGAACATGCCTCCGGTGTCTAAGTCTAGTGCAGCCTCTGTGTGCATATCATAGCATACACAATTAGGAAACCTGTTAGGATCTCATTTAAATAATTGTATTTACTTTCTTATCTTGTCTTTACTTTGAAAAAGTTGATTTACAGCTTTAGAACTAGAAATAATTGCCATACAGAGTATTTGTTAGCTCATTAATATGTATTGCCACTTTTAATATAAACTTGTAATTTAGTTCCCTCTACATCAAACTTCTTTATTGTAGTTCAGACCTAAGATACAGACAATGCATGCTCCCACAACCTCCTAATGTTAGCATCCTCTCCAGCTGTTGTTGCCTGTAATGTAGATGCATATGCATCAGTTATGGCCATGGAGAAAAAAATGGCCATCTGGTCTCTAGCTCAGCAAATACACCTGGGATGGCTATTATTCTTTATACGTATCACAGCACAGCAAACCTGTTAAAAATCATCTGGCCATTAAAAAAATCTCCATTGTCTTGAACACACATGCATTACTACAATCATAAAGGAAATGTAGTTGTCCCCTTCCAAAATCACATCATTTACCATTGATACACACAGCAAACACTGCAGTAGAGTGTAAATTTAACTGTGTAGACCATTAAGAAAACCTTATTGTCTTGTGAATAGTGACGATTAGCTGTAGTTTTTTACATTTCCAATGTGCAGTAAACTAACACTTGTATATACTGTATGATGCTGTGTTGCTATTGAGATAACAACACAACATAATTTTCTAAATTACCAAGTTCACCAAAAGAAACAATGGGCAATAATTATGGTTGAGGACCACCACCAGAAATGCAAAGAAGCTCACTTCTTCATGCATGTCACTAACAGTTTAAAAATGATCTAATGTTCTTTATTGACCAAGATATTTTTCAGGATTCTCAAGAGACCATTGTGAGCCATGTCCCTCTTCTAGCCATTTCACCATTCATCCATCCATACAACCTACCATCTTTTCATACTTTCCCCTCCTATCCCTACTTACCTCCTCTCCCCATCCATGCTTTCATTATCTATTCCTGCTGCTATCCGTCCTTCTTCTTCTGTCCTTCCCTCCATCCATGTGCGTGTCTTACACCTACTGTATATACATAATACTCAGTAATGATCATATTAATTTAAATAATTTACATATCCCTATCCTAGACTACAGTGCTGTGCAGAAATCAGAATATTCAGAATCAGTCTGGGACCCATCTCCAAGGTAAATTGCCTTGCACGCTAATTCACTCACCCACAGTCTAAGACCAGGTTAGATTAAAAATCATTCAAATGGATCGGCATTTAAATAATACATTTATGGTAATGGTCTTGCTAGCATGGATAAAGAGTACTAGAGTGGCTGAAATTCTATAGGACTGCAACCAGCACCAAAAGACAATACCTACCAATAAAATAGTAATAAAGAAAACAAGAAAGAAAACATGGATAAAAATGGGCATGTTACTTTATTGGTTTTAACAGATCACTAAAACATTCTTGAAATTGGAAGAATAAAATAAAACAGAATAATAGTTCCATCATAAAACTCAAGTAACAAGCATATAAAATAACAAACAAAACCAGATCTTGCCCACAAAAACACACAAAAAGGCCACAACCTATAAATTTGAGTGAGGGGAAGTTGGAAGCTCACCCAGGTTTCAAAAGAAGAGGTCCGTGACACCTGTCTGTTTGCCCATGGAATTAGCAAGATAAGTACCACCTAAGCATAGCAGCCCATACCTCTCTAGGATGGTCCATGCTTACCTACATTAATCACAAGGTGCATATCCAACTCGTTGCTGTTTGCCAGCAATCCAAATATAGGAGACAGTATAGCCAGCATATGTTGCAGAAATCCTTTTATTGCATTAAAAAGTGGGAAGGTAAAAATCTAAAAACCTTTATTTTTAATACCATAAAACAATATATGCAACATACACTGGCTGTGCCATCACCCATATTTTTTGGGACAAGTTACCCACTATAGATATAAAATGATATAGAATGCAATTCCCCTGTTCACTCCTGCTGAGAATGTAACCGCAGATCCCCTCCGGAGTTATGCACCTGACCAAATACCTTGGTATTTGTTCACATGACTGTGGTTGAAAGGGAGGATCTGAGTTCTGAGCAGTTCATGCTCCTCAGGGGTAGTGGCTACAATTGTATTCATCTTTGCATTCTCCCCATCAAGATTCTCTTCTGGAATCATATGCTTTTTTTTTTCATTCTCTGAGATAAATGAGAGTTTTGGAAGAAGAATGAGCTGAGCGAGAGTAGAAACTAGTGAATGGTTCCACCTGGCAATTTCCACCCAAATTAACCGCTTAAGGACCACACTATAGCAGATATACTGCTACAGGGCGGCACCTGTGTGCAGAATCACATATAAATATAAACGTACTGTATAAATACATGATTTTGCATTTCCGTATAGGGGGCGCACGCGCGCCCTAGCCACTCCCGCCATTCATGGCCGCGGATGTCAATCACTATGGTCCCAACCCGTAATTACCCGCCGGTGCCCGGTGATTACTGAGCATCTCCGACGCGGAGGAAGATTGTTTTGTTTACAAACAATCTTCTTCCCTGTCAGCTCGAGCACACTGCTCGGGATGGTTGTGTACAGTACAGCCATCCTGATCAGTGTGCTTACAGTGAAGAACACACCCCACCACCTAGTAAAACACTCCCAGCACACAGTTAATCCTTTGATCGCCCCTCACATTAACCCCTTCCTGCCCAGTGCCATTAATATAGTGTCAGTGATTTTTTTTTTGCACTGATCACTGTATTAGTCTCACTGGGGTGTCAGTGACACCAAGAAAGTTCCCCCCCAGTGTCAGAATGTCCGCCACAGACCCACGAAAAGTCGCTTATTGCCGCCATTAATAGTAGAAAAAAAAATCATCCCATTATCTATACCACCATTTGTAAATGCTATAACTTTCACGTAAACCAATGAATTTACACGTATTGGGATTTTCTTTAGCAGAGACATGTCGCAGAATACATTTTGGCCTAAATTTATGAAGAAATTAAATTTTTTAAATTTTTTTACTGGACATGTTTAATAGCGAAAGTCCAAAATATTGTTTTTTTCTCACAATTGTTGGTCTTTTTTGCTTATAGTGCTTATAGTAATAAAAAAATGCACAGGCGATCAAATACCACCGAAAGAAAGCTCAATTTGTGGGAAAAAGGACTTTAATTTCATTTGCGTACAGTGTTGCATGACTGCGCAATTGTCAGATAAAATAACGCAGTGCCATAACGCAAAAAATGCCCTGGTCAGGAAGGGGGGTAAATCCTCAGGACAGCAAGTGGTTAAATGATTAGTTTTGAATATAATGACCAATTATTATTCATGTTACGATCGTTTGCGTTATTTCTCAATGTGTTTCCACTTCTCATCACCAAATGTTTTACTTTTAGTAATGGTTTTAGATCTAGTACTAAAATAGCCAGCACTTGGGATTTAATCAGAAAAATGTTTTTAAAGCTGTAATATGATGACATTTAAAGAGACTGACGCGTATTCACAGTGGAGCAATATGTGTTTCATGTCTGTAGGAGAACACAATAACAATGTCGCTTTTAACAGTCACTGGTGCCATGACATGTCATACGCTCTTGTAAATGAATGCTTCCTCAGAAAATAAGACACATTTGTCTGCCTCTACTAGAACGTCTCTCAGAAATACAATTTCCACACTGTGACTCAATACTGGAAACTATTTCTATCAGTTGTTATGCAGCAAACATCTGTTGTTAGAAATTAAAGGCTGTCAGCCCGGGAACTAAATCAATTTGCAGTCTTATCAAACCTTGTTTTCACATATTCAGATGGCCAGAACAGTCCTTTAACCCCCTTCCCACCACAAAGATGACACTGATATAAGCAATAAGAGCCTTTTGTTCCCAGTGCCCTATTTACTCTTAATAGAAATGCTGAACTATGTCTAATAGTTAACATTTTATGACATGAATAAAAGTTGATCACTTGAGATAAGTTGTGAATGAACAGGTGGTTTCTGGTGTTCAGATTGCACAGTCTAGGAAAATATTTAACTGTCTTATATAAATGTCAACAAACAATAAATGCAGATGCGAGATCCAACGCCTCAAGCTTTGAACTAGTGAACTAGTAGCATAGTTACATAGGGGTTACTTACTAAAACTGGAGAGTGCAAAATCTGGTGCAGCTCTGCATAGAAACCAATCAGCTTCCAGGTTTTATTTCCAAAGCTTAATTGAACAAGCTGAAGTTAGAAGCTGATTGGCTACCATGCACAGCTGAACAAGATTCTGAGTGCACCAGTTTTAGTAAATCTACCCCATAGTCACAAAGTTAGACAGAAAAAAAGACACAATTCCATCTGCTTCAACCAATAGAAAAAACAGACAAATAGAAAACATCCATATATAGAATGCTATACCCACAGTTTATCCAGGAGGCAAAAAAACCATGAAAACTAGTTTCTTCAGTGGAGGGAAAAAATTCCTTCCCGATCCTTCAGGAGGCAATTGGACATTCCCTGGATTAACTATCTGGATGTTAATTTATTAACTATAAATATTAGTATCCAGTTGTATTTTGTGCATCTAGGAATCCATCTAGGTCATTTTTAAGACAATCTACAGTTGTAGTAATCTATGGTTGAACTGGATGGACTTTTGTCTTTTTTCAGCCAGACTAACTATGTAGCTATGTACTGAGTTGGCCAGAATTTTTTTTTGAGGGAGTGTATTCCACCAGGGGCAGACTGACCATTTGGAAACTTGGGCACTGCCCGAGGGCCAGGGGTCATTAGGGGGCCCCATGAGATGCCCCTGGTACCTTTTTCATAGGCTTTTTTGACTTTGGGCAAGGACACAGGGGCCCCATGATCCCCTATTGCCCGGGGGCCCCATGAGTTGTCAGTCCACCCCTGTATTCCACATTTTCACAGCTCCTACTATGAAGAAGCCTTTCCATATTTGGAGGTAAAATCTCTTTCCCTCCAGACATAAAAAGTGCTCCTTTGTCATCTCTGTTGACTCCTTTTGGAGTCTATACCATATACTGTATATGTGTGTGTATGTGTGTGTATATGTGTGTGTGTATGTGTCTGTATATGTGTGTGTGTGTATGTGTGTGTATATGTGTGTGTGTGCGTGTGTGTAAAATAAGTATTGTGCTTGTGAAGTAAGATGTTGCATTTACCCTATTGCATCCCAACCCAACATTCTGGTACACACCTTGGTGAAAATACATATTGTAGTATTATGGTCAAATGTGGCAGTAAGAGCATTAATGTTTAGTTAGAAATAAATAACATGATTACGCATTAATACACGTGAAATTTGTGTTACCTATGGCAGTACAAAACCTAAATACACCACTGCTGCTGGCCAATCACAAGCAAGGTAGTCACATAGTAGAGGGAGAGTAAGTAAGCCAAGGAGGAACCAGGGATCTTCATTTTCAGCAGTCAAATGGAATTAAGGGAAAGTGAACATGTAGCAGTATGGAGGGCAGTTAAATGACCCCTTTACCTTGCACTGCATAGACAAAAGACAGGGTCTCTTTATTTCTGCCGCCCTGTTCAAGAATTAGGCCCATGCTAGGTCTAACATTTTCTCAAGTGACCAAGCTACAATTAATTCATTACAATCAAGCCACTTCCCCTGCCACCTACATAATTTCCCAGTGACTGCTGCTCCCACTTCTGGTCCGATTTCCTAGGCGATCGGAAAACGGAAGGTGTGCTCCCCCCCTGTAGTCTTTTGGGACACGTGACAGGTTCCAGAAGACTACTGGACCATTCATGAAGCGCAGCGCTACTCGCGCATGCGCAGTGGGTACCCGGCTGTGAAGCCGCAAGCTATCACAGTCGAGTGCCCACACTGAAGATTCCGGCCTCCTGGAATACAGGACGGCCGGTGAAACGGGCTGCAGGGGACACACCGAGGGACAGGTAAGTGGCTGTTTTTTAAAAGTCAGCTGCTACAGTTTTTGTAGCTGCTGACTTTTATTTTTTGACAGCGTGAGTGGCACTCCGCTTTAACTACAGACAGAAAGTAAAACTGTTTGTTTTTTTTTAATAATTCTAGTTTACCATGAGGAGTCTCTGCACATTATCTATTATCTACATTGCAATACTAATTATTCCAGTGTCTGGGTTCAGGGCTGATTTTGTGAGGAAACTGTGGTATCAGAAAGAAATCTTTACAAACATGGGGGGAAAACACAAAATCCATGCAGACTTTGAATCTGGTGTTGTTTTAAAATTAATTTATCCCTATAGACTGAAAATGAAAAAGGCAAAATAATGGCATTGAAACATATAAAAACATAACTATACAAATTGTCCAAGGCTTGAAAAATTCCTCATTACCTTTTATTTCTCCCACCCTCTTTTTTTCTCTGTATAGTAACTAAGCTGTAGATTTATGAATAACATAGCAAATATTTTACAGGCAGACACACAGTATATTCAAATATTAGACTTCAATAGCTGAAAGGCAAAAATGTGCATTCTTGCATATTTACTTCAGAATAAGTTAAGAGGAAGAGAAAAGACTCCTGTATGAATGAACTCTTTATGGCCAGTGCCTCATTTACAATGTGGGCTTCCTTGCTGTGGCTAATTTTTTCTCAGCTCAAAACTGACAAGTGCTAAAGCTCAAAACTAGCAAAGTGTATACAGTGGATATAAAAACACACCCCTATTAAAATGTCAGGTTTCTGTGAAAAATGAGACAAAGATAAATCATTTCAGAACTTTTTCCACCTTTAGCCTGGGTTCACACTGATGCGGGGCGGAATTCACAGCGAATTTCGCACCGCATCAGAATCGCACCCCATTCATGCGAACCGCTGCAGGTGTGTATGTCAAGTTAGCAACACCCTGAAATCGGTCCAGAAAACGCGGTGCGATGTGCAGAATCGGATCGCATAGGTGTGAATACCCATGTGATTCAAGTCTAGTGCAGACCAAAAAAAGGGTCAAATTGCACCGCACACAATTCGCATGTGATTTGCACAGGAATGCGGTTCCTGTACGAATCACATGTGATATACTGCACCGCACATACAGTGGGGATCGAAAGTTTGGGCACCCCAGCTAAAAATTTTTATTAATCTGCATAAAGAAGCCAAGGAAAGATGGAAAAATCTCCAAAAGGCATCAAATTACAGATTAGACATTCTTATAATATGTCAACAAAAGTTAGATTTTATTTCCATCATTTACACTTTCAAAATAACAGAAAACAAAAAAATGGCATCTGCAAAAGTTTGGGCACCCTGCAGAGTTAATATCTTGTACTGCCCCCTTTGGCAAGTATCACAGCTTGTAAACGCTTTTTGTAGCCAGCCAAGAGTCTTTCAATTCTTGTTTGAGGTATCTTTGCCCATTCTTCCTTACAAAAGTCTTCCAGTTCTTTGAGATTTCTGGGCTGTCTGTCACGCACTGCTCTTTTAAGGTCTATCCATAGATTTTCAATTATGTTGAGGTCAGGAGATTGTGAAGGCCATGGCAAAACCTTCAGTTTATGCCTCTTGATGTAATCCCCCGTGGATTTCGAGGTGTGTTTAGGATCATTATCCATTTGTAGAAGCCATCTTCTCTTTAACTTCAGCTTTTTCACAGATGGCATCAAGTTACCATCCAAAATTTGCTGAAATTTTATTGAATCCATTTTTCCTTCTACTCGTGAGATGTTCCCTGTGCCACTGGCTGCAACACAACCCCAAAGC